GACTGACAAGTTGTCTGGACCATGAAAGAGGCTCTGAGATCCGGTTGGGCAGGAGGGTAGGTGGCACAGGTTTACGAGATGTTTGGTAGATCTTGGTCCTGCAGTCCAGGGGAGGCTGGGCTGCCTCGTGAGGGACAACAGCCCCAGGCTCAGCATGACATCCTGTGAGCCTCTTTTGCTGTGGCTAGACAATACCAAGTCCAGCCCCTCATCACTGCATTATGAGATTTCCTTCAAAACACGTAGGGAGCGTTTCACACACCACCCTCGCTTCGCTCGCTTTGGCAGCACTGAATGCTGAGCAAGTCTTCAGGGAGAGATGGGGGCCGAGGCAAGGACTTTCCTGCCTGGCGGCGACTCCAGCCCTAGTGCCAGGGCTGGGAGGGCAGGTCCTCCTGCTCTGCAGACCCCATCAGTGGGTCTGATGGGAAGAACAACCTGTCAACCAAGTTCTGGAAACAGGCTGCACTGTGTGGCCCTGGGCAAACCCCTCGTGTTCTCTGAGCCTCAACTTTGTCCTTTCTAAAATGGGGTCATGCACCACAGCACTCGGGAGGCTGAGGCAGGAGGCTCACCATGTGACCAGCCTGGGCTACATAGTGAGACCCTATCTCAGAAGACTAAACAAAAGTTTAGTTCACCCAGGTGAAGAAGGGACGGTCATCCTCCCCATCTTTCCCAGGAGGGAGCTGAGGCTGCAAGCAGTCAAGGTGCCCATGTCCAGCCCCACAGGAGGGACTCTGGGGAGCAGGGCTGGGACCAGAGACTTCCCTCCATGTCCCATCCCAGCCTGGTCAGGGCCTTGGCTGTCCTGAAGGACGTGGCAGCTCATCGGAGGAGGGGAGGAATGTTGCAGCCCGATGTGGACAGAGGGAGGGGCGTGGCACCCTCGGAACCCACAGACACCAGAGCCACATCTACCTGCGGGGCTCTGGCCTTACCAGGCAGTGGTGTAGGTGGCCAGGGATTCCCCTGACAAAGCACGGTCAGGACCCTAGCAGATGCTTCGGGGACATGCAGGCTCCAAGGGCTGGGAATTCAGTGTGCGCCACCACACCCTGCCTTGGTCTCATCCTCCTGAAGTAGCTACTTGAGGCTTGCAGGACGCTGCTAAGAATAGAAGGAGAAACAGTCTCTACCAACGCACCCACATGGAGACCACTGAGAGTGACCGGAATGCCAGCCCAGGCGAGTGTGGTGCCAGTCCCCCATCTCTCAGCCCTCCCACAGTCCTTTGTTGGGTAGATACCAGGGGGAAACAGAGGCACAGAGTGCCTAGGTAATCCACCCAGGAACACACAGCTGCAGGTGGCCCCTGGCTGTGCTCCAGCCACCACCCCAGCCTAAGGGAGTGCATATGTCTCCTCCCTGGGCTACGAATCCTAGCTCTGTGCCTGTCCCCGCAGCAGCCCCAGTGAGCATCCCATGACACTGGGTTGACCTGCTCTCTAACATTGACCTGCTTCTCCCTGCTCAGAGCAGCCCTTCTGGGACTCCCCAGTGCTTTCAGAAAAATGCGCAGGTCAGGCATGGCAGGAAGACCGCCCCAACTACATACAGAGACCCTGTCTCAAACAACCCAACAGAGGGCCAGGGATTTAGCTCAGTAGTGCCACCACCTGCCTTGAAAGTGCAAGGTCCTCTCAGTTTGATTCACAGTACCAAACACAACACACACACACACACACACACGCACGCACGCACGCACGCACACGCACACACAAAACCAAAAGGAGAAAAACACCTAGAGCCTTTGCCAGCTTCAGGTCCCTCCAAGACCTGGCTCTGGGGTGGCCAGGAGGCAGGCCAGGGCATGGTGTCCTGGAGCCTGGCACCTAACACTGGTCTCCCTCCGCTGAACCTGCAGGCACAAAGCTATGATGCTCCCAGTGACAGCAGCCACCCCTGGACACTGGGCTCATGGCACCCCAGGATGGGGAGATGCTGTTATATCATTGGAGCCTCACCAGGTGAGGCTGGATGGAGAGTCATCTACTCTAGCATTGTGAGACAGAGGCTCTAGAGGCTTGTGACCTATTTAAAGTCACACCAGAACTAGGGGACAGCAGTGAGTGCAGTCTGGATCTGGATCTCCTGCGCTTACACTGCGACCTTGAGAACTAAGTGACAGGATGGGATGGACAGTGGGAAGTTTAGGGGGACAAGGGCTGCAGGCTGAGTGCATTCCACGTGAAGGGGGATGAGCCTTCAGAGTGTCAGCCGTGGTAAGACTTTAGGGGTGACAGCCCCCTTAGACCCCCACATATGTCATTAAAGGGCATAATGCATGTTTAACCTAGGATGTAGTAAATGCCCAATTAAAAGTCTGCATTCACACCATATATTTTATTGTGGAAAAATACACATAACACTTAAAATTATCATTTCTTGGCTTGTGGGTTTGTCTTTGTTTTATTTTATTTTATTTTGGTACCAGGGATCGAATTCAGGACCTTGCACTTGAGAGGCAGGCAGCAGAACCACTGAGCTAAATCCCGGCCCCTTCCTTTGTTTTTAGACAGGGTCTTACTGTGTAGCTCAGGCTAGTCTTGAACTCACTCTGTAGCCCAGGCTGGCCTTGAATTGAATTTGCTGAGATCCTCCTGCCTCAGCCTCCTCGAAAGTGTTGGGATTACCAGTGCGGGCCATCCTGCCCTGCTCCTTGTTATTTTTATACAGCTACTATTTATCCATAAGGCCGCTCCCTCCTCCTTCACACCGGCTCACCTGGGCCCCCCCATCGAGCACACCTTTCACCGCAGCCCACCCGCCCCGCAGGTGTTCGCCGACGCGGACCAGGTGCGCATGACCTCGGAGGGGTCCGACTGCCGCTGCCAGTGCATCCTGCGGCCGCTGAGCAAG